TAATATCCACGTAATTTATGCCTTCCCAACTTGCGATTTATAGCATGGACCATTTTTAACTTCTAGATAATACTACTGGAGCATAATCTTCTGAAAGCAAAAGCAATTGGGAAATAAAGACACTAACACAATGGGGACAGCTTCGGGCCTCGGAGACAACGTTAAGAGACGGCTTGCATGATTACATTTTGCGCGTGTTTTTTCCACTCAATGAAGGACATAGGCCACACGTATTGCGATCACTTATAATTTTTCTCAAAGCGACTCTTTAATTGATAAGTATTCATATGATACGCATACCTAACTACTTTTTAAATGAAGATTTCGTTTTGGGGCTTATGAAATACCGTTATTTTCCTACCTTTTGAAGCAAACAATCTTGTCTGGTCGCCTTTGTGCATCCGGTTAGTATGCGGCCTGAGTGTTAACAACATTTCGTCTGCTGCACTCGTTTCTCAAGTCCGGTCCCATCCACAAGGCCCTCCTCTTTAACTCAGTGCTGTTATCCCATGGGCAACAAATAATCTCCGGTAGAGCGTCTTGCTACCCCTTTCACTGAGGACGTCGTTGCGCATACAGATGTCCCCAATCGATCTTAATCAGCTTATTTCATTGAAAAATCCTGTCTTTAGTTAAGTTTACAACTATAACAGCGGAAGTTCCATGGATCCTATGAAAACGAGAAGAAATATTTATGTTGGTTGCTGGGACTGCCCACAAAATCCGCGAGCCAGAGAGTCAAGATGCATTAATTTTAAGTCTGAACGACAAAATCTCCACTAGTGCTGATCAAGATAAGACTGAACGCTGTAAGGGATAAATTAGGATTATCGTCCTGAATATAGGTCTTAAACAGAGGAGAAATTTAGGACTGACTACCTTTCATACCACTAATCGCTGGAAATGGTCCTAATAGCCAACTAGAAAAAGTCGATATAGATAAAATGGACCTCTATCCAGTAGTTATCAAAAAATGCCAAGGACTATTTGCTGACATGCAAAATGAATTGCATATGCATGCTCGGTTTTCCCGCAACTAGCCGCTGCAGCATCTGGAAGCCAAACAGAACGAGACAAATAACGGTCAGAAGTTGTTTTGTGCCAACCGATATCCATTAAACTTCGCTCAACTGGGTCGAAGGCTACGAAAGGAACCGAAGCAAAACGAATTATCCAGACTAGCTCTCTAAAAAGTGTGTTTGTTGATTAAGGAAGTTTCATGAATTTTGGTCTAACTCATCGCATTCCTTGCATGAAGATTTTAACGAAGGTCTTAATCAACTCTGTT